AACCTGAACCAGGACACCACCAGTTTTCTAATCACCTAGTTCTGAACTTGACGAACCCTCCCCAGCCCACCCTCACGGGCACACAGGCCAGCATCCCTTATAGAGAATAGGGCATGAGCTTTGGGGAAATGTTCTCACTTTCCTTTCGCTGGGAAATAGAGGCGGGTTTGAGTAGGTATCATTTTCTCTCTGCGGTTCCAGATTTAGGTGACTCAGTGTGTGAACCCCAAGTAGCACTAGAAACAAGATGCTGGATCCCTCCCCGACACCCCCCGCCCCCATGCGCCCCACCCCCGCCCAGCTGCTGGAGATGGGGATGTGAGTGGTTTGTGAATGGGTTTGTAGGAGTCCTGGGTATTTTTGGTGGGACAAGCATGATGTATGTAGCACCTGAGAGGCAGCAACTTGAAGAAATACAGAGAATCCAGCTCAGCTACTGTGGGGCCCTGGGCATGTGACCTCTGGGTCTCAGTACCTTCACTTATAGAACGTGAGGTGGGGGTGGAAGGAGTGGGCGACAGGGGCTGAGAGATGTTACCAAAGTCATTTTAACACTGCCACTATACTTCTGGGGATTTCCCCGCCTCACCATGGAGCTGTTGTCCCTTCTCATACTGGACCTTCTCCTGTTGAGTTCAGTCTTTGGATAGCCCAAAAGTTCCAGAAACACTGAGTCTGTCTATTCTGTTTACCATAACCATCTAAATCAGTGGTTTTCAACCTTCCTCGTGCCACGACCCTTTGATAACAGCTCCTCATGTTGTGGTGACCCCCAACCATAAAATTATTTTCGTTGCTGTGTCCTAACTGTCATTTTGCTACTGTGATGAATCGGGTGACCTCAGGTACAGTTGCTCTAAATCTGCCTGTAGAACAAGCAGTTCTAAGTATGGCATCAGTGCTCAAACACTGAAGACACCATGCTGTGTACAGGAGAAAAGCTACTGTCCCTGTAACAGGCAATTAAATGGCCAGGACTTGGCCCCATGTTGTCTGTCCAGCTCATCTCCTGGTATTATCTCTTGGGTCAAGAGACCCAAGTTTTGAGCCCACCTGACCTCTTTGCAATTCTGTGACTGTAGACAAGTTACCGAGCCTCTCTGTGCTGCGTGTGTACAATGAAGACGAGAGAGCACCCAATGACCGATGTGATCTGATTGAATTCAATACCATGAAGAGTGGGTCTAGAAACTCAATGAATGTTAGTTCACCTTTTCTCTTTTCCCTAGGTAAACCAAAGGGTCCTTGAGGCGAGGGATTGTGCGCCTCCTTTACTTAGCACAAAGTATTTAGCACAAAGCCCCCAACAAAGCAAATATGTGCTCAATAAATATCAGTTTGGTGGGTTGATAGATTGTCTGTCTGCGTCCAAGATTGCCCTTGAGTCACTGAGCACGCGCTTATCTTTTCCAGTTTGCCCAGATGGTGGCTATCTCCAAGACACTGGGAGGAGAGAAATTCCCACTCATTGAGCAAACATACTACCCCAACCACAAAGAGATGGTAAGTGGCTCAGTGGGGGGCTTCCACTCCGAGCTTGGCCACACAGTGACAATGGGGGTCTGATGAAGTCCTCAGCATCCCAACTGGAAAGACCCCAGTGGGGTTGGAGTGTGGGGCTGCTTTCTGGGGCGTGTGTGGCTGGAGTTTAGCTTGTCTTCAAAACCTGGAGACAGAATAGGGAGGAGCAGAAACAAGGGCAGCGTATCCAGCAGAGATTGTAACAAAACTCTGGACCGACAAATAGAAGTTCCCACGGCTGCACGCACGCACACACGTTCCAGCTTTAGCTCTGCTGTCTCTCACTGGCCTGTTGACACGCCATCGGCGTGTGTCATTTTCTGAGAGGAGAGTCAGGTGGCCATAATTCCTCCTCACCAGTGTATCTCAGCTGGAACTTACTAAATCAAGGGGATGCTTAAGTAATAACCTTCTGGAAAGGTGCCTAAGGCATCTGCCTCAGGTGGAACGTGTTCTTCCTGCTATTGTTCACCAGACTCTTCCACTTCTTGGCTTCCCTGTGATTGTGATAAAGCTTGGGGTGACACCGTGCCTTCTCTGAGGTCACCTCAGGACATCAGAGAGCGCAGAAAGGTGTCGGTTGTGGTTGGTTGGGAAGGAGGTTATGCTGATGTCTTTCTTCCATGGTAACTTGGGACTCTTAATTCCCTCCTCTACTACCCCCACCCGTTCCCACATCCTCTGCCCCAGGATCTGTGTGATCTAGCTGTGATCCTGCTGCACCTGCCAGGGGAGGAGGCTCTCTGCCAAGAGAGAATTCCAAGGGCTACACGCTGGGACAGAGATGATCTTTATTCCCTCCAACTCCCATTTCCAAAAGAGACCTTCACTTGGCCCACTTTCCCCGCCTCATGAGCCATGACTCTGCTCATCAGCAAGACATACACAGATGATTAATAGCAACCTGGGACCTTTCAAAGAACGAGCTCCTTCATCCTTGGCGCACCCCCCTGCGCCTCATCCCCCCTACCCCAAACCTAGGAGGAAGTATGGAATGTTAAGCCCCTGTCCTGAATGAATCCCTAAGGCCAACACCAGGGCCTCCCCTTGCAGGCAAGCTAAGAAGCCGTGTAGAATTCAAGGAGCCCTTAGGGGCTTCTGCCCAGAGACGTCAGGGCATCCACAACACAGCAGTGAGGGGATTGGGCCAAAAGTGGGGCTTGGCTCCTTGGGGGGTCAGAGCTGACTTTTTTCCTGCTGGGACTTATATACAGCACTGGCCGCTGGAAAAAAAATTGCAACTGTAAAGTAATGGCCCCTCCTATAAGTCTATCCTCTGCCCCTGCAAGGTTCCTTATGTTATTTCTGTCTTGTCCTCAACCCAACATTTGACCTCAAAAGAGGCCCTTAGAAGATCTTGCTACAGTGCCAAAAGCTGATGAAGGGAGACTCAAATTCTACAAAAGGAAGGCTTCGGGTGTGTAAAGAGCTGAGCAGTATGAGCAATGGCATCGGGAATCTCGTAGATGTCTACTGTCTAAACGAGATAGGCACAAAGCCATGTGGGTATCAGCCGAGGACAGTGGTGGGGAGCGTTAGCCTGGAGAGTCCAAAGCTAAGTCTCCTGTCTAAAGGTGGGAGCTCACTGGGTGGGGCCTCTGCCAGGAAAGGTGTTGGGAGACTCCAGCATGGGCATGGAGGATGGTTAGATCCTTCTAGATGGTGTAGTGAGTGACTCTTCTATTTCTCTAAGTCACTCCCCTAGACAGATGAAAGTGTCTTGGAGGATCAGGGGACACATAGTATGTGGTTCTTTTCATTTCCCCAAATCAGCCTGCTGATGATCCTGTCCAGAACCTTCTGATGCTGTGCATTTCAAGACTACACCATCTCATATATATAACATTCGCCATTTTTCCCTTATCAAACCAGTTCAGTCAAAAGAAAACACACGATCTTGGGGAGAAGAGGGAATGGTCCTGGCTTTGGCAAATGCACTGAGCCAGAATCATGGGGAAGCTCTCTGTAACAGGCACACGCTAGACTAAATAAGGCTGGAAGGCAGGGGAGACAGGGCAGAAAGGTCAAGTGACCTTTCCCGTGTTAAGTTCTAGGCTGAAGTCTTGGATACAAGCTGTCATTCGCCCCATCTCCCTGCCTTAGCCCGGGCAGACCATCCACGGTGATGAGGCAGTGGTGACCATCAGAGATCTGCAGAGAAGAACTGGCTTGGTCTTCAGAACACTGGTCCCTAGGGTTGGAGGATGTCCACCAGATCCTTCTTGAGGGGCAGGTGGCCCCGGTACCAGCTGCAGGTGCCATCGGCATGCTTCATGCAGACATAATGCTGGGCCTGGTACCCGTAGAGCTTCCGCTGCAGTAGCCAGTCTGTCCAGAGGCACTCGTTGGGGGCCGAGATGGCGCAGGGCACTGTATAGCAGGTAGTGATCTAGAGTCATGGCCACACAACATCTAAGTGAGAAGTGTGCCCTACACGTGAAGGTGCTCTTCTCCCTTACTGCCTCTCAGACTTTTACACACCCTCTCAACCCCTCTCAATTGCCTCCTGGTTTCTGAAGCCTGAGTCTCCAAACGGCCCCCTGATTTCTCTTCCCTCCGTGTTCCCCCATGACATTTTGTCCCCCTCATGGCATCTCTCCAGGACCCCTTGTGGTGCTGGGGGGTAGGCTGCTAACTGTAGAGTCAGTGGTTCAAAGCCACGAGCTGCTCCACAGGAGGAAGAGGAGGCTGGCTGCTCCCAGAAAGATTGCCAGGCTGGGAAACCCTTCATAAGGTCACTCTGGGTCCAAATCAACTCAAAGGCTTTGGGTGATGGCCCCTCTGGAGGCAGAGAGACCTAAGAATTCTTACTCTACTGCTGGCCTCAAGCAGGTCACTTCCCTTCCCAGAGCTTTAATTCCTTCACCTTTAAGTGGAACTTTTTAATTCCTTGTAAAGACTAAAGGAAGTCATTTTAAAAAAAAAAGAAAATTGACATTTCTTCCCCAACACAAAGGGCCTTGGGAATGGACAGCTCCTTACTTGGCAGCCACAGTTCAGATGGTAATGATGATTCAGACTTTCCCTCTGCAACCAGGACAGGTTCTCCCAGGGTTCGATGTAGTTGCACAGATGGATGAAGACTTTTCCATCGTTAAGGACCTGACCTTCAAGAGGAAATGGAAAATAGCTTTCTGTCAGGTTCACCGTTGGCCCCTGTGGTTCCAAGGACCCAGGCCCTTGAAAAGCCCCAGAGGACAGCCTTTTCATTGACATGTTGATGACAATGGGCACATGGAGCTCAATGAATGGACCAGACAAACCCTTATAATCTCTCTAGCCGGAAAAGGAATAGACTGTGTTTGCATGAAGTAGGCTTGTGGGAACTGATGATGCCAAGTCCTTCCCTTTACCTTAGTGAAAAGACACAAGCACAGGGTTGGAAGTCAGACTGGTCAGGGTGTCCGTCTCTTCTAGAAGTCATTTACTAACTGTGTGTCCTTTGGGGCGCCAGGATACCTCGTCAGTTGGAAATGAGAAGAGTAAAGTTGTGAAGAGCCAATGAGAGAATCTCCGTAAGATTCCCAGCATAGTTCTGGGCCCACAGAAGCTGATCCGAAAATAAGAGGTCCCTCTCCATTGCCAGCCCTTCCCGGGCCAGTCTCCCACTCCTCAGATGTCTTTCCCATTCCTCATAGGCATGTCCCCCTTCTTTACTTAACTCACTCCTTCCCTTCCTTCAAGGACCATTGGCAGTATTGCTGGGCCCTCAATTTCCCTTGAGCCCACACTGCCCTTTGAGCTTACTGAGCACCTAATATGGCCTCAAATGAGGGATACAGAAATAAGGATGCCAGGCTCTCTGCTCCAAGGGAGCTTACAGACTAGTAGGGTAGACAGAAGAGTAGGCAAAACTTATACTATTTGGTGATTCTGATATAAGAAGAAAGGACAGCATTGTTTTCTCGGTGTATGGATGGGGCAGTGAGCAAGGAGAAGATGAGGCTGGGGTTGGGCCTTGTGGGAATGGGTGGGAGTTCCCCTGCCAGACAGTTGAGAGGATGCATTCCTGGCCACTGGGCCTCTTTTGTGTGAAGGTGGGGGAGCACAACCCAGCCAGACACTTTATGTAAATGCAAGCAGTTCGGTTCAGCTTTAGAAGTGAGGGGTTGGGATGTGTCACTAACAGGGGACACCTAGTGAGGCAGGTGATGTTCAGGTCACAAAGGGCTTTCAACACCAGGCGAAGGAGCTTATACCTTCTCTTGAATGGCCTGGGGGCCACGTGTGACTTTTTGGTAGGTGTATGTTTCATCATTTCTCCCCACACCCACCCTCGGGTAGAACGTAATGTCCTTGAGAGCAGAGAACATGTCTCCTGATGCCACTGAGGAGCCGTAGTGCTCAGCAGAGGGCAGACACGGGAGGCTGGTGCTAAGGAGGTGGGATAACTGAGCATCAAAAGGCCCAGCCTGCTAGTCCTAGGAACTGGGCGCTCAGTTCATCCAGAGGCTCCCCAGACCAGTCTAAATTCCCATCCCAAGAGCTGGGGCATCCCTATCATTGTGGGCTCCAATGTCTACCAGGTCCCGAAGCCATGACTGGACTGTGGACTCTTGAGGAATGTGACTCTTCCCTGAGCCCCCATTCTCCTGCTCCAGGCCTGGCTCACTGGTTGCTGAATAGGTGAGGGATGGTGAAATTCTACCTCTAGTTCTCCCACCTTCTTGCTAAATCTTTTAACCCTTTTGGGCCAGTTTGGAGCCTACCTACATAAGGAAGCCTTCCCTGGTCATGTACCACCACACAGAGTACCTCCTTTCCCTGAATTCCAAAACACGTGAGCAGGTCATGCATTCACCTCTGGAGCCCTGTGTTTGCTCAGGCCTTTAACTGTTTGGGCCCAAGAAATTCTGCATGGGGAAGACACGGTTCTGTCTCTAAGGTTATGGAGACCGAAGCATGTTACCACGAAGGCTCCCATAATCCTGTGCTTTGCCGTGTCCCCAGACTGGACCTGGGCTGTGAGTCAGGCACACAGGTTCACTGTGAGCCAAGAGTATGTGTGACCTGATGTGGCTGTACCCTGCTAATGCAAACATGGGCCACAGGCAGTAATAGGGAGTGTGTGTCCACATACATGGGCCTCCTTGACTCTGTCAGGGTCAGATGCACTCTGTAGGACTGTGTCCAGCTCTGGGCCCTGGGCTGCAGGAAGCAGGGTGGGAAGGTGCCTGGGAACCCTGGCTCCTAAGCAAGAGTTCAACTTGGAAGAAAGCAGATCTCGAGCTAGGATGGACGTAGCTGTTGTTCGCAGGGCTCCACCAGCTCAGGGGTGCACTCATGGGGCAGAGGGCAGGGTTGAACCCACAAAGGGTGACTTAAAGGGGGCAGATTTTGGCTGAAGATAAACGAAAGACTTACACCAAGTAGAAGTGTTGGAAATGGAACCAGCTGCCGTAGGCTGTGAGAGCAACCTGTCCTGACAATGCAGAAGCCATGACCAAGCCACTGTAGTGAGGGCTTTTCCATTGGAAGGGAGGTGACCAAGGCTCCTCCCAATTCAAAGACTGTCCCAGCAGCCAGGAGCTTGTCTGTCACTAACAAAGCTCCCTTCTATGCCTAACCAAATGCCACAGCCTCAGCTTGTTGCCCAAGGAAGGCTGCTGGCTGCCCTCCACAGGGCAGGCTCTCTTAAGCCCTGTGGCTGGTCTTGAACTTACCAGTTAAGAGATACTGTTTCTGGCTGCCGGCTTCTAGTTTCACACCACAGAGGGAGGAATCCAAAGGTGTATAGATATACTGAACATCCTTGACTTTCTCAAACCCTTTAAACATCTGGAAGGCAACACAGTATAGTCTCAATGAGTGTCCTCTAGATTTCTACAGGCCACCTAGTCTCATTTCTCCATCTAACAAGCTAAGCAAAAAACTAGTTTGGGGCTTGGTGCATACAGATGGTCCTGCTGGGCCATTGCTCTCTTTAAAAAACGCTCAACCTTAGGTCATTCCCCTGAGAGAGGAGATGCCGTCAGTAGCCCCATGCACAGGCATGGGTGGGATTAGGTGGCCCCATCCAGTGCTGTCACTTGGATTCCCTGAGCCCAGCTCCTAAGATCTCATCTGCCTCCATTTCAGCATCTGTTCCCAACACCTGACACCCAGTCCCACCCCCTCCCAGAACAGAGATCCCAGGCCTTCCACCAGCCCAAGAGGGTGAGTGCTCTGTGCTGTCCCCATGTACCTTTATCTGTTTGATTTCATACCGGATCATTGTGTGGGTATCGGCAGGGTCTAGACTTGCAGGAACGACTTTCTCACTGGTGATTTTGGCCCGGATCACTGCACAGGAAAAGATGGTACCTTCAACAGCCAGTGGGAGCTGTCCATTTGGGATGGGGGTCATACAAGACACTGGGACCTCTGGAGGATGTCGTGGGGGCAGTTGTTGGCTTAAGTTCTGTTGGGTTGTGGGCAGAAGGGCTGTATGTGAGAACGGGGTCCGAGAAACACCTCTATGGCGGTGGTAGCTCAAAGTTTTAAACCCCGAAGGCCTATCCAGGGCCCTACAGTCTCTCAGTTATGTCTGCCTGTTTTGAACCTAGTAATAAGTAGTTAGAGCTCAAGTTCTCCAGGGCCCAGTGCTGCAGGGGGTTGGTAGGTGGGGAGCCTTTTGGGGTCTCAGAGGCTCAGACTTAATGTTAGTGCATAGATAATAAGTTTTTTAAAAAAACAGACTGACTGCACAGGAGCATCCCATCCCGAGGCATTTCGGCATTTGTCAAACACTGTTGATGACCTGGGCCTGGCTTGTCATGGACCTCAGACAGGGCCCCCTCCCACAGAACACTTCCCTTAGTGGAGAAGGCAGTGTAAAGAACACCAAAGGGGACATCAGGAGGACAGAGGTGTTATAGGAACACGGAGGAGGTAAATTGAGAGCCAGGAAGCCTCAAGAGAGAAGGGATCTCTGAGTTGGGCCTTGAAGGATGAGGATGAGTTTGCCTGGGCCAAGGGCATGCCAGGCAGAGGGGCAAGGAATGCCACAGGGTGTTCTCTGGTATGGGAACGTGGTGGGAACAAGTTGCAAGTTTGGACACTGAGGCAGGCAGGGTGTTTAGGATGCATGCCACCGCTATCACCATGGGCACCCCCACCCCCCATCCAGGGGGTTAGAGTCATTACTGGCCAGCTCCAGGGACCCTTTGTTCTGGCGTCACTGGCGGCCCTCCCGGGGGTATCCTCCCTTCCCCCACCCCCATGGAGACTATGCAGCACCTGTTTCTTACGAGCCAGGCGGGCGTCCGCCCCTGCCCACCCCCCACCGCACCCCTTACCGCACCCCCTCCGCACTCACCAAGCGCAGAGTGGCAGGCGTGCTGCTGAGGGTGCGCGGGGGCGCAGCTGCACGCGTCGCTCAGCGCGGGGGGCCGGAGCAGGGCCAGCAATCGCAGCACCAGCGCCCAGCCTGGCGCAACCCCGGGGCCCCGGGGCATGACACCGCAGAGCACCGGCTGGCGCCGGAGCCTGTGGGGTCTCTGGGACCGGAAAGACCCTCCAGGACTCCTTCGGAACGCGTCGCGCCCCTCGCCCCAGACTTGACGGGGCGGCCCCAGCACCGAACCCGCCCCAGTGGGCTCCGCCCTCCCTGGCGCTAGGCCACCTGAAGCTGCAAGACCCTGGCGGGCTGATGAAGAGGGAAGTCAGGAGGGAGGCCCCGGGGCCCCCTGCCCAGGCTCGGAAGGGGATGGTGTCACGGCGAGAAGACAGCGTGGCAACGACAAATGCAGGAGGGCACAGTGACCCCGCGATTGTGAGCCGGGCAGAAGGAGCATGGGTGAGGAGAGGCAGAGAGAGGGCGGCGGCAGCGTCAGAGAGAGGCAGGCAGAATTACAACAGGCAAAAGAGACAGTGACTGAGAAGAACGGACCCCTCGCTGAGCCACACACTGGGAATGAGACCGGCTACTCAGGGCTGCTTTCAGCTGCAGGAAGTGTTTTCAATGCCCTATTTATGAGGCTCCAAAGCAACAGCAAACAGTAATGGAACAGGACAGAGAAAGTTGGGGTGTGTGTGTGTCTTGGCTCTGTCTGCTAGGGGGGTGGGGAGGGATGTCAGAGAAACGAGCCAGGGCTTTAGAAACCCGTTCCCATACCCAGAGCCTCAGCCTCTGCAGATGGCTGCGGCCTGTGTCCTTGGTGGGGCGTAAAATAAACCCTGGGGCCGCAAAGCCCTCTCCGAGTCGTGGGACACCTGATTTCTATCTCAGGGCACTGCTCTCTGGAAACCTTGACATGACAGAGAAGCTGGGGCAGCTTGGAAAACAGAGGACAATGGTGCTGGGATCCCTTCGGGTTCTGGACTCCAGATAGGAATGGGACCCTGGGACAGTGCTGGGGGTGTCTAATAGGAGACCGGGTTCCAAGCCTGGCTGGCACTTGCTAGCTCTGGGCCTCGGGGTTTTTTTCCCCCCTCCATAAAATAGGGTTGAACTAGATTATTTCCAAGGCCCTGCCTGGCCTCAGTCACCCACTCAGCGCCATCAAGTCAATTCCGACTCACAGGGATCCCATGGGGCAGAGGAGAAGGGCCCCTGTCAGGCAGTTCTTCACAGAAGTAGAAGCAGCCTCCTCTTTCTCCTGCAGAGTGGCCCGCATGGGGCCCTGGTCTTTTTAGGGCCAGCATTCCTTCCTCCAAAGGACGTCTTTTCATTTTAATGGCTCTCGTGATGCCTAGAAAGAAGAACATTGAAAGATAGGCACGTCTGAATGAGGAAGATGAGACTAGACTTGGTGACCTGACCAAGTTCGAGCCTATGGATTCTTGGAAGAGAGTATAAAAAGCTTCCAGGCCAGCCTGTCTCTTCACTTGATGGAGGTAGTTGGTTCAGTGAAGTGCCTTGCAGGAAGTTGGTGGCAGAGAGGACCAGAAGAGGAGCTCCTGAGCCCTAGTGGCATGGTGGGTTACATGCTGGGCTGCTCACCACAAGGTCCGAGGTTGGAACCCACCAGCCGCTCCTTGGGAGCAGGATGAGGCTTTGTAAAGGCTTGGAAACCCAAAGGGGCAGTTCTGCTTTGTCCAATAGGGTCGCTTTGAGTCATAATTGACCGAATGGCAGTGAGTTGGTTTGGACATCTAGCCTAGTGCCCTTTCACGTCATTTTGCAACATCTAGAAATTCCATCCTAGAAGGCTGGTTCTTTTGACAGGATCGGCACATTCAGGGTAGCAGGGCCATGGGAAGGGTGATTCTTTGGGGCTAATGCATTCACCCTAACCCTAACCTTAGCCCAACATCCCTAGTTTGTATTGCTTCTCTACTAACACATGGCTGTCTCAAGGTAAAGCTGAGTCCCTTAAGGATCTCTTCTGAATGATGAACATATTGACTTCTTACATCAGCCCTTTGCCAGCCCAATTTAAAAAAAATTTCAAATTCACTACCACCTAGTCAATTCTGACTCATAGTGACCCTATAGGACAGGATAGAACTACCCATGGGAGTTTCCGAGACTAAGTTTTTACAGGAGTAGAAAGCCTCATCTTTCTCCCTCAGAGCTTGCTGGTGGTTTTGAACTGCTAACTTTGTGGTGCAGCCTAACCCACAATCACTATGCTACCAGGGCTCCTACTCCAGCCCCATAGTTGGGCAAAAATAGGCCACGGCATATTGTCATGTTTCACAGTGGGTTTGGGAGTTGCTGAGCAGGGAAGAAAGTGTGGAAGGGGGAGGGGAGGCCTAGGCTCAAGCCAGGAAAGCTGGACATGTGGAGGGCAGGGAGAGACCTGATGAGAGAGACAGTTAAGAGCCCAAAGATGTACTTTTGTAAAGTGAGGCTTTTGAGTTATAATTTATATCTAGTGAAAGTCACTCCTTTAAAGATGCATTTTTGTTCTTGATCTCCCTGGCTGACAGCCAGTATTTCCCAGGTTTTATCTAAAGCAGAGAAGATTGAAGCATGCATGGTAAAGATATAGTGAGTACCAGCTAGGCGAGCAGGGTTCTTATAGCCCTGCCACTAAGATGCTGTGTGACCTCTGTACCCACCCACGGCCACCAAGTTGATTCTAGACTATAGCAGCATGCTATGGGCCCAGGTTTTTTCGTTTGTAAGGTAAGTAGATTAGAATAGTTTTTAGAGGACTCTCCCAAGGGCATTCCCAATAAGAATGTTGGTGCGATTTTACAGAGATGGGCACATTCTAACCAATTCATTCCTTGTCTCTTTTGCTTCCAGCTGACACTGCCCACATTCCCAGTTGTGGTGAAGATTGGCCATGCTCACTCGGGCATGGGCAAGGTAAGGCAGAGGAGTCTGCTGAGCTCTCGTGTAATGATTGAAGCCAAGAAGGTTCTGGGAGAGAGTGGTAGAGGGAGCTCACCTGGGGGCAGTTCTTCTGCCTCTGATACTGATGAAGTCTTTCCAAGTAGATGTTTTGGCCCCTCCTGGAGGCACAGGTGCTGCGAACCCAGGCCTCTTTCAGCAAGGTGTGGTCTCTGGGCCTAAGCAGGGAAGCCAGGAGAAAGGGCCTGGAAAGGAGCAGGTGATATGCCAGTTGTACCCTGATGGGTTTGGCTCAGGGCTCAGGGCTCTTCTAGCTCCTCAGTGTGTATCCTGATCTCCGTCTCTCCCGCTCTGTCTTCCTCCAACATTAGGTCAAAGTGGAAAACCACTATGATTTCCAGGACATCGCTAGTGTGGTGGCCCTCACCCAGACCTACGCCACAGCAGAGCCTTTCATTGACGCCAAGTATGACATCCGGGTCCAGAAGATAGGCAACAACTACAAGGCTTACATGTGAGTGTGTGGTGGGCTCCTAGCAGTACGCTCCATTTCCTCCTGAGCCAGAATGGTGAAGCTGGGCCTCCAGGTAGCAACCAGCTCTCAGGTGAACCTCCTCTTGGCCCACAAGGCAGATCGCAGGGAGAAGGTGCCGTTTACTCAAGGATTGCAGAAATGGGAGAAGGGGTCCATGAACTTCGATGGGAAAGAAATTAATATTCAGTTTCATAGTCTCTAAGTGAAACTTAGCATCTCCCTCAATTATGGACACAGACGGCAGAGGAGAGTAGAGAAAGCACTGCATGCAACTTTGTCGTCAATAACAGTCATCACCGATCGTGTTCAAACACATTGAAGATGCCACGCATACTCCTAAATACCACTTACTCTCATCCCACCTTTAAAATCATGGTAGTTATATTAGAACGGTCCCTACATTTGATTATTTCCAAGAAGCATATCTACTGCTAACCAACATTAGTCTTATATGTTAAACATAACTCAATGGTTATTTTAAGTATTTTAAATCATGGAATTCCTGTGTGATGCTATGTACTTGGTTTAGCACGTTTATGTGTAGTGAACATTGCATACATCTGAGAAGGGACCCACAGGCTTCCGCAGACAGCCAATGCACAGAAAACACTGAGAAACTCACCATTCAATACACAGCCTCAAGACCCAGCAGAGCGTTAGAAGCCCAGTGGTTGTGAAGTAGAGGACCTTCTCAGCATGGCTGGTCATTGGCCAGAATGACAAGTCAAAGGTTTCCTCCGTCAGAAGTCTGAAACCGGAAAGATGTAAGGATACCTGCTACCCATGATTTACATAAGAACACAAGTGGTTTCTATTTCCAGTTTGGGAAATCGTGTATCCCACATCTTACACTTCATTCCTCACATACACTTTTGAAAAAACAAAACCGTTGGTTGGCATATAATTCATATACCATACAATACAATGATTTAAATATATACAAAGGAATTGTTTAACCAACACCACAACCAATCTTAGAACATGCTAGTCATTCTTGTACCCATTACTATTAGCTCCCATATCCCCTCACCCACCCCTGCTGTAACCCTAAGAAACTATTAATCCAGTTACAGTCTCTATAGATTTACCTGTCCTGGGTTTTATATAAAGAAAGCCATACTAAAAAACCCACCAGAAATAACAAAATAAAACACAGAAAAAGATCAATCCAAAAGAATGCCAAAAATAATAAAAACTAGAAAAAATTTAAAATAGGTCAAAAGAGAGGACAAATGATAAGGTGTTAAATTTTCACCTAGCTACATCAGGAGTAATCCACCTTTCAATACATTTTGTCTTATAGTAAGATTATTCACATCCCTGGTTAATGAGGAGTGGGCATTCATCAGAGGCTTTAATGCATGTGGGAACCCCACAAATGGATATTGGGCTTTCACTGTCATCCATATCTTTCTGTAAATGGAGAGCCTAGAATTTAAGCTCTAATAGAATTTCTTCCTCTGCTCTTGGATTTTATAATTTACAATCCTTGGATCACACTGACTGGTGTGCTTCTTCTGTGTGGACTTAGCTGACACCTCACTACCATGGCTTCTTGTTTTAAGACAAGGCTTTAAGTCCCCAGACACCATCTGATTTCCTCATGGCACTTTGATAAAGTACCCATATCTTCAGTGATCTCTTAGTGAGGGCAAACATTGAGTAGGGCCATGTTATAAGAACTAATTGTTCTCATATTAAAGTTTACTATTAAGTGCGAGCTTATAATGCACCAGATATCTACAGTTTATATATGTCCCTGGTCCATTTTGGAGACATCCTTGTCAACTTTTTGAGAAATATTATAAATAATCCTCCTCAGGCATATGACAGTCCTATTAATAGTATCATTCATTTAGCCAATGGTATAGAATTTAAAGCACTGTTGAGAAAAGGAAAGCATACCTGTATACGACAGCTTCTTAGACTGAGATGCATGGATTGGTAACTTATACAGATTTAAAACTTAAGTGTCTGGACATTATTGAGGATTGGAGATGGAACAAAACTTCCAATGATGTTCATGCACCAAAGCAGAACTATGCCCACAGGACTAAAACCTGTCATCAAAAAGCAAAGAGAGTATGAAAATAACGACTATATGGGAGTCTTAAATTGCCAATTCTTGGGCAACAAACACTTTTCGAAGTTCAAGGTTGATATTGGCATTGTGAATCTCTGAAGTTGACATTCAGACTCCAAGCTGAACCGCCTTTTTCATTTTTTGATCCCTCCACACACACCCCCCCACCACCAGCCCTCTTTACAGTACTTCTCCTGGCGTAGTGAGGGGCACCTTCCCATAGCTCCTCACATACCGTCCTTTACCACCTGCCCTTTAGCTTGTGCCTCTCACTGGGTCCTCCCCAGACTCTGGGTTCCTTCGGGGCAAGACCAGTGCACCCTTCTTTGCAGCCTCCCATGTAGTACAGCAGCAGGCACGTCACCTACACTCCCACTAAGTATTCAGGGCAGAACGTTGTAGAGATTTGAGGTATAGATTTTCTTTTCTCTTACTTTTATGACTTGAGGTGTGATTTAGGTGTGTTTACAATTTTCTGTTTATAGGCTTCCTGCTTCAGAAAGAGACTGAAGGTGGCTTGAAAATGACACATCATGTAAAACAGGATCATTTAAAAGGCTGTTTTAAAAATTATCCAAACGAACAGAAGAATAGATGTTTTTAGGAAAGCAATTTTCCCATCTTTGCATTCTAAAAGCTCCCTAAATAGAACCATACATCTGTCAAAATCTGATATCCAGAGTTTATAAGGAACTCCTAGCAAGAAAAAGACAAACGGTCCAATCAAAAATTAGGTGAAGAACTTGAGTAGACATCTCACCCAAGACGACATACAAATGGCCAGCAAGCACATGGCAAAATGCTCAGCACCACTAGTCATTAAGGGAATGCAAATCAGAACCACCAAGAGACGCCACCTCCCCTCCCCTAGCATGATTAGAATAAAGTAAAAAACAAACAGACAGTAACAAATGGAAGGCAGCAGGTGTTGGTATGAACTCAGAGACACATTCAAATGGAGGCATTTGAGTTGTGCTGGCGAAGAATAATGGAAGGACCATGGACTGCCCAAGAACAAGCACATCTGTCTTGGAACCAGTATGGCCAGAACGTTTCTTGGCACTGGTGACAGAGTGAAATGGTATAGCTGCCAAGGAAACAGTTCTGCAGTTCCTCACAGATTTACACAGAGAACTAACTGCCTAATAGTCTGGCATTCCCAGTTCTAGATCTGTACCTACAAGAATCAAAAGCAGGCAACACAACAAAGACCTGGCCATTCAAGTTCCTTGCAGCACTATTTAGCAAAGAGGTGCAAACGACCCGTCCATGGACAGATGAATGAGCAAACATACAGTGGAATGTTACTCAGCCATAAAATTAAATGAGTTCTAGGTACATGCCACAGCATGGAAGGACCTTGAAAGCATTTTGCTGAGTCACAAGTCAGTCACAAAAGGACAAGTCATCACCAGGGAATCCAGGACAGATAAACCCCTCAGGACCAATAGTGAGAGTAGCCATACCAGGAGGGGAAGGGGAAGGTGGGGGGAGATAAGGGGAACTGATCACAATGATCTACTATAGCCCCCTCCCAGGGGGCTGGACAACAGAAAAGTGGGTGAAGGGAGACATTGGTCAGTGTAAGACATGAAAAAAAAGTATAAATTATCAAGGGTTCATGAGGAGGGGGAGGAAGAGAGGGAGGGGGAAAATGAGGAGCTGATACCAAGGGCTCAAGTAGAAAGAAAATATTTTGAGAATGATGATGGCAACAAATGAACAAATGTGCTTGATACAATGGATGGATGGATGGATGGATGGATGGATTGTGATAAGAGTTATGAGCCCTCAATGAAAAGATTGAGAAAAAAAAGGACAAGTCATCTATGATCCCATTTATATGAAATAGACCCAAGTAAATGAATGATTTCCAGGGGTGGGCGGGAGAGGGGAAGCAGGAGTCATTGCTTAAGTGAGATGCTGTTAAAGGCAGTGGAAGGGTTTTGAAATGGATGGTGGTAATGGCGACACAGTAAGATAGGCATGATCGAGGTCATGGAATTGTGCATGGGAAAATTGTTGAGTTGGTAAATATTTTGTTAGATATACTTTTACCACATTTTAAAAATATTTCTCAATGACGACGGTAGAGTAAAAGTATCTTAATCCTTAAAAGGAAACACCAAATTTTTAAGCATTAGGGTTTCCAAAAGCAATTGAGAATGAAGTCTAAAAATAAAGAAGGGATTCTCAAACATTGATGAGGGGTGGACGAACAGAATACCTATAGAAAACATTTGCTTCATTTTTTATGTATGAAGGAGAGTCCGTTCATTGAGAGAATGCTTAGGGCCTCTCAGCTTCTCTCACTCATTTCTCTTCCCCTAACTTTTGGGCATACCTTTGCTCTTAGAAGCAGGGATTGCTGTGGCCATGCCTAGGCAAGGTTTAGGATTCTTCTCTTGTCCCCGGAGATCTCTGAGATGACCATGCCACATGGGAAGAAGGCACTATCCCAGCCTCTGCTCTCAGTAAAGGAAAGATGACCTTCAGATCCAGGGAGGTTGGGGAGCTCTCGCTGAGTGATTCTCTGTGGCCCTCTGATCCTGCATGTCCTGGGCAGCCAGTTTGGGTCTGTGTCTATATTCTCAAGGATCTGTGTCCCTCTGTTTAGAAAAGGGTGGAAAGTGAACTCTAGGGGATTTTGTGAGGCATAAAATGCTGTGCAAATGTAGGAATAGAGCTACAATTTACTTAAAGTTTCTGAAACCCTATTACTTATGATAGCTAAGTGAGTGATTCTCTGTCCCTTCCTGGAGGAGTTCATTCAGTAACAGGGGCACCCTTGTAAGCCATCGGTGTGATGATGACAGTCCTGTTTTCTTTTTCTATTGAGGTTTTGCAAGCCACTCAGCTGTTGCGTTTGCTTTTCTGAGCTAGCTAGGGGGGTGTAGGGGAGAGTATCATACTGAGGGAGTTGGGAGAACTGGAGTTTTAACTGATAGCTCCATTGACAAGAGAGACACATAACTTTGGACAAGTCTTCTAACCTTTCAGAGCTTCTTGTCTGTCAGCTAGGGGCAGGGATCCTAGCCTGCTCTCAATAGTGGGGTTCAGGAAGGCTTGAATGAGGGGTTTGGTGAGAAGGAACCTTGGAAAGTTGTCAGTGCCGCTTAAGTGCCGCTTAAGTGTGAGGAGCAGTTTCTATCCTATCAGTGGGCTTCCTAGCTGTGTGTCCATATTTCTCATTGCCTGGAGCCAGATCTCTGGGGAGGGTAGTCCTAGGAACTGTGAGGTGGAGACAAGCTATCTCCAAACAGTATGGAGAGTGCATTCTGGCTCTGTCAGAAATGTGAGCAAGGATCCTCATCTGGACTGTGGGTGCGTGGAGACTCGTCATTAAAAAGATGGGCTTTGGGTGCTTCACAGTTTATCTGTACAACCTTTGCCCATTGGCCCTCACGATCACCCTGTTTTTACCAACAAGAGAGCCTCAGAGAAGTGAGGTGATTCACCGAAAGATACCCAGTCAGTTCAGAGTAAATCTTGAACCAAAAAGCAGGCTGTCTGCTTCTGATCTAGTCCATGGCTGGATGCCTCCCACATGTGCTCGGAGATGGACAATTTAAGCCAAAGATGTTAACTGACTTACCGAGAGTCACGGTGGAATCTTAGAAATTGTTGATAGGATGAGTGAGCCTATGAAGGAGCCCTAGGAGATAGTCACAACAATTCTAAGGGAGTTCCTAGACACAATTCAATTCCGTTTCTAGCTACCGATCAAACAGACCAGATCCCAAAAGGCTAAGCTCTGGGAATACACAATCTATATCCTTGAGTGGTTAACAGACCTGTGAACATAGGACTTTGCTTCAGTAACTAAAATAAAGAATTCTACATGCACAGGTCTGTAGGATTGTAAGTGAGGTACAGGCAGAGGTGGGGTGTGGGGGTCTCTAAGGAGAGCAAGAGCTCCTCTGCTTGGAAAGATCGAGGAAGGCTCCATGGATCTTTGTCAAGAAGAGGAGGAGGGGCAGGGACCTGGCAGAGGTCCCTGGACCGTACTGGCACAGTGAGTGGGGACAGCAGCCGGTAGCTAAAATTGTGGGCAGGTATGCCTGCCTCTTGCCAGTATAGCTCACTGCCTGCCCGTCTTGTCCTGCCCTGGTGGGTCTCTGTTTCAGGAGGACGTCCATCTCAGGGAACTGGAAGACAAACACGGGCTCAGCGATGCTGGAACAGATTGCCATGTCAGACAGGTGAGTGACGCACCGCACGGGGGAGGCTCCCACAGAGGACGAGCCCTGTCCAAAGGGAGCCTCAATTTAATAGGATGGAGAAGACACTCAGGGCCAAGTAGCTCATTCACAAGACCACACAGGGCTGGGTCATGTGCTACATGCAATAAAGACCGCATAAGCCTGAGGATGGAGTCATCGGTGTGGGTTGGAGTAGCCAATCAAAGCCTCCTCCTTGAGGAGGTGAGACCTGCTTTCAGCCTACAAAGACGGAAGGCAGACAGGCTCTGGAGAGCAGAGGGGAAGGCACTGGAGCTAAGGGAATGAGCCTCCTGGGGAAAGAATGAGGGGACAGGAGAAGTGAAGGCAGCCAGAGCGCTGGACCAGCAAGCTGACTCGATCTGAGCTGATGTCCCAGGCTCAGGATGCCTTCCATTCCTTCCAGGTACAAGCTGTGGGTGGACACCTGCTCTGAGATGTTTGGTGGCCTGGACATCTGTGCTGTCAAAGCAGTGCATGGCAAAGATGGGAAAGACTACGTTTTTGAGGTAAGTCTGACCTCGAAAGTCTGACATCACAGAGAGAGAGAGAAAGAGAGAGAGAAGCCCTGAGACACACTTTCCTGTCAATCCTCCTCTGAGCAGGACTCGGTTGGTGGTATTCCCACACGGGCTCAACACGAGCTTCAGAATCTCCCGCATGACTTGCCTAGGATCTTCTGGGTGGTCACCGCCCTTCTCTGTGTAGGGTCAGTTTTCTCACTCATAAACAAGAGAAATAGACTATACCGTCTATGATCTGAGTAAGGCAGACGCTTCCGAAAGGAGGGAAACATTGACCTGGGCCTGGCATGACAGGAGGTAACAGGAGGGGTGGTGGATGAAGGCAGGCAGCATGCTGGATCCGGAGCAAAGGCAGGAAGGGGCCAGCCAGTTAGTGAGCAGAGCATGTTTGGAGACAGAGATTATGTGGATGAAAAGTCACAAAGAGATGAAAACTGCCTCCTCTGACAAGTCCTCTCATCCTGTGCCCCTGCCTACAAACCTCCCACCCCTGGGACCACATCTCTCATTGCTTTTACCTCTCCCCATGACATCGGTCCGGTCCTCAATCTTCCAGTCTCTCTGAGTCCTGAAGCTTGGAGGGAAGGCCCAATGCACAGGTTTACAAGGGGAGAGGAGACAGATCATTCTCCGCCCAGGAGCATGCTTCCAGCTGCGGACAACACCAGCTTCAGCTCCAGCCCACCTCTGCCAGCTTAAATCCCACCTGTTCTGTTTCCTGTTCCTTTCATCACCTACTTCACCCTTCCCCCAGGTCATGGACTGCAGTATGCCTCTGATTGGGGAGCACCAGGTGGAGGACAGACAACTCATCACAGACCTGGTCATCAGCAAGATGAACCAGCTGCTGTCCAGGGCCCCTGCCCTGTCTCCTCAGAGACCCTTAACCACTCAGCAGCCACAGGTAAGCAGTTGGGAAGCTGCACCGTGAGCCCAGAGTCATTCCGAATCCTCTCCTAGGGCTAGGACAGAGGTCCACGTCCTCCAGGCTGGACAGGATCTACGGGGTCTTCTCCCCCCCCACCCCTCCGAGCCATTTCCCTGTAAACTCGAACTCTCCAGGGCATGGGAGTCAGTTTGGCACCTCTTGTCAACTGGCCCATCACTCAGACGGGGCCAGACCTCTTCCAGCCATTCATGCCTGAGCTGGGACGGGTCTGCCAAATTTAGAGAAAGAGGGCCGTCTTGGGGAATCTGCTGGTCTAAACTGAGGGGAGAGTCAGGTGCCTCGTGGTAGGAGAGAGTAGCAGGGCAAATATCGTATTAGGGAAAGGAGAGGCCATTGGTCAGATGCCAGTCAACTGTGGTTCAGGACTAATGGCCGATCCCACTACAGGACACACAGCAGGCCAGCGGGGAACCCACGGGGAAGCTTGTGTGCAGCGCCAAAAACTGGGAGCAGAGCGAGGGCCCCAGGACTAGAGGGGTCTCTAATCCCATCTAAAAGGTACCTTACTTCCCAATATCCTAACTCTTCTCTGCACTGCACGTCTGTCTATGTGATGAGATGCTAAGAACTTGGGACAGCGAGTGAAAGGACAGAGTCCCAGTCTACTTTTGCCCCCAAAGAGCTGTGTAACGTCACGTGCGGAGAATGGTGACTACCCTTTCTCAGCCTTGAGCTTGATCAGTTTATAAATGAGAATTCCTTCAGAGTCCCGCTGCTGTCTCCGTGAGTCAGAACCAACTGCCTGACAACTGATGTTTGGCTGTCTGTCTGTAAGAAGCCTCTGAGTGTGGGCTCCTTACAGCATTCGGCTTTGAGATTTCTCCCTTTTCTAAAGCCCAGTACCTTATGGGATTTGCACTGCAGTCAGAAGCAAAGGCCATTGGATTCTAGAAATTCTCCAGTAAGGAAGAAGAGAAGGCTGACAACCCTACACTGGAGGGTGTGCGTGCGTGCATGCATTAGTAAAGCAGTGTGGATTTTACAGTGCAGCCAGTTCCACGGGTCTCCCATCTCATCTTCTGACTATCACAGACCCATAGCACCCAGAAGTGTGGTTGAGGTTCCTCGTCATGGACCCGAATCACCAAGAAAGGGTTAGAATGTAGTCGGTACTCCATATTCCTTGTAAGGGGGCTAGAAACATAATAGATGAGAAATATTTCTATCAAAAATGCATAAACTAGAGCAATATGATCACTGACAAGTCAGCTTCCTCTCTGAACCTCGGTTTCCCCAATTCTGATAAGAAATGGTCTCTTACTATCTATTGAGCTCGAAACACTTCTTTGGAAAGGAGGATTCTCGTGGCTTCACCTGGGGATGAATGGGACTGCTCTGATGGTCCAGGTGTCCAAGTTGGGACTGACGGGGCTGCCAGTTATAAACAATTCATGCCCCAGTAAGAGAGCCTGACACTTCCCAGGCAAGATAAAAAACAAAAAATCAGACTGCTCTAGGAGCCTGTGAGAGGCCCTGAAGTATTTCTGTTAAGGTGCACAACACACTCTCAGCCTTCGGCAAGGGAAACCATTCAGAACTGGAAGGAAGAAGTCTGGGCTGAGAATTAGGTAGCCCCTTGCCCCTGTCTCTCTAGGTAATCGTAGGCCATTTCTTCTCATTTCTGAGCCTCAGTATCTTCATGCATAATATGAGGGGCTGAACCAAAAACATTACCAAGATCCCTTCTGGCAGTAAAATTTAGGGTTTCAAGATGCCTGTGGGAAAGTGAAGTTAAAAGACAGTGTAGTCTCACCATGAACTTTGTGAAGGCTCATTGGGTGGAAATAACTTTGGACGAAGTAAAGTTCAATTAGAGACATACCGGGCAAATAGTTTCTATCCCACAGAAAGCATTAGCTTCTCTGGGCAACAACTTCCTTATTTTTATAAAAGTGGGGCTTCTTCAGAAATCCCAGCATCCTTTGCTCAGCCTATTATTCAGAGCAACAGTCAGATGTGGCGGAAGCATGCCATGCCTGGAGTCCCGATGATACGACAATATTTCAGTCTTGTCAAGCGGAATGTACGATTGCTATCACAATCCGTTTCCAAACATCCTTTTTCTGCAGGGACCCCTCGACATCGGCTCCCTTCACAGGTCCCATTTTTTAAAACAGAAAATAAAAAGAGAGACCTTTCTCAACCCCCTAGTCCCTTCCAGCCAGGACCCATCATTCCGCTGATGGTGCTCTTGTCAAATTCCCTGCCTTGCCACCCATCCCAGTGGTGGGTCACGTCCATGCTTATCTTGCCGTACTTTTCAGTTGCGTCTTCAATATAACAAGGCCAAAGCAGAGTTCTTGGCTAATTTACCCTTAAACCTTCTTCGCCCACCCCGACCCCTCATTTTCCCCAAGCAATTTGTATAGGCCCCACACCTGCCTCTTTGTTCTTATACTGAGGTGACCAGATTTAAAGCGGGACACCACTGACCCGGGGTGGGGGCTATTGGGGGGTGTTCTTGATTAAAAATGTGGTCTGTGGACCAAATAGACCATTCCCTAGGTTGTCGTGCATTCTTTCCAAAAATCGGGACTTTTTTAAAACGCCAAAAATCAGGACTGTCACACCAAAAGCGGGACGTCTGGTCACCTTATCTTATACCACTCACTGTAGTTCTCGCCCACACAGCCCTAGCCCCTCTGGCAAAGGTGTTGGTGTTAGCTGTGGTCTCTCTCTGAAATGCTTCTCCCTCTTATCCTTGTGGGACTGGCTCCTTCACAGCTGTGTAAGGAGTGTTTCCTCAACCATCCCATTAAAAGTTGCCACGGTGAGTCACTGACGACCATCTCTCCCTTCTTAATAGTCTTGCCTGTTGATTTCCTTGCGTCCTTAGGGCTTGTTTGCTGCTGAATCTCTAGAGCCCACAGAGTACCTGGAATATATCCTGGCTGGACCACGGCGGGTAGAAGGGTGCCTGGGTGAAAATTCTTAGTCATCTGCAGAGAATTTTTTAACTAACATCATAAAACTAACCAGAAGTCTCTACTTTTTCCATCGCCACCTAGTGCTATCTATTGTATACAAATGACTATCAAAAGCCCTGACCACCCTGGTGAGTCACTGTCACCCCCACTGTCCCCTTGATGTGCCACTGCAATATATACTTGCCAAGTGGCTTCCCAGTCTGAATGAACATCTTTAACTGCAAGCTCTACCAGCCTGTGGGAGTTGGTGTCAGGGATCCTATGAGTTAACTTCATGCCAACCCGTGGGTATGACCTGGGCCCCAGCCAGTACTGTACACAGCAGTGCATGTCCTTCGAGGTCATCACTCCGGAGTAGTCCTCACCCTCAGCCCCTCGTGTGACCTCTTTCTTCTGTATCGCTGATGACTCACGAAGAAGCAGCTCCTGGCTCGAGTCACAAACCCTGGGAGCTGCTGCTTGCCCAAGACCAGGACAGACATGATTAGCCAACTGCTGACTTTCTCTATAGATGCAAGCTGACAGCTGCACCATGAGAGCGTGTATTCTTTGGTTCTAGAAGAACCAAGAGACCTATCAAGTGGGGAGGGGTGGGGGTGTGAAGCAGAGAAGTGGACACACCATACCTTGCTATCACCAGCCCTGAGCTGGAAGAATTCTCCTTAGGTAACAAAGCACCAGTTTGGGAATGGTTCCAAGGTGTCAGAAGCCTTGACAGAGGTGTAAGAGGTCCGACCCCAGAGGCAGGTGGCGAAGCCCGATTTGGCTGATTGCAGCTTAACCACTGCCTGGCTGGACTTTGCGAGCCCCCCCCACACACACACCTCCCTCCACCTCCTCCCCCCACCCCCCATCCCCATTAGAGCTGTGACCCTCTGCACCAGTGACTCTGAAGGCCTTTTGGGAGACTGTTCTCAAGGTGCCAGTGACACCTGGTGGCCACTGACAGCCAGAGCCTGCAGATTAAATACCCACAGAGACTCCTCCCTGAACTCCCTGCACTGCCGTCCTGCCACAAGGCCCTGACCCTGTGTGCCTTCCGGGATCTGAGCTAGGCCTTTCATCCCGGGCCCTGGAGAGGGTTGTGCTGCTGCCCAGACTCCCGGGAACCAGGGGGGAGGCAGGTGGACAAAGCTCCCAGGTCACGCTCTCCTTCTTGTGGCTAATCGGGGTCCATTTCCTCCTGTTATTTTTCCAGTAAAGTCTTCCAGAAGCAAAGACAGAATTCATTGCTGCTGTAGAAATCCCAGACATGATTGGGCTAGGCTGGGGGTTGAGGGATGGCTTCTAGTGGTCCACAGAGTGGGAGCTGTTTGACTTGTTTGTGGGTTAGACTCATGAGGAGCCTTTGGACACGTTAGCACACATTCGGCGTCCAAGGGGAAGCCAGGTTTCTTCCTCTCTCCGGACAGCAGTTTCCAGGTTGAGGGTCAGAGGATGGCAGAGACAAGCCTTATTGCGTTGTGCTCAGAGGAGAAAAGCTGGTGCCACTCCTGGGAGCACAAGGCTTTTGGCAAATCTCTTCGTAAAAGTAACAAGGGGAAGGAATCGCCATTGATTCGTCATGGTCTCACGGAGCAGGTGACTTATATAGCTAGCTCTCTGATCACTGCAGTGGCATGGACCTTACCAAAAGGCAACGCTTCTGAGTGACAGGTGTGGACTCAGCATAAGGAACACACTTTCAGAACCAAAGCCTGGGAAATGGTTGCTCTGGCCAGGAGTGGGTGGGCACCTCCCACTGTTCAGCTGCCATTCTAGCAGGACGGGGAAGCACCCTGCCAGTCTCTGGGAAGGGGCAACTGGGAGTGGTAGCCGGCATTTTAAAATTCCCTCCCATCTCTGAGATGTTGTGGGCAAGGATGCTCGCTAACCACAGAATCTGGAAAAGAAGGCTCATCACTGCCTCAGGAAGAGCTTTGGTGGCACTGTGGGTTAGGCGTGGGCCTGCTTAACTGCAAGTTTGGCAGTTCAAGCCCGCCAGATCCATGGGAGAAAGATGGTGTTATCTGCTCCCAGATTTACCAT